TTGAAAAGTATTGGCTTATAGAATAACACTAAATATGTTGGGTGTACCCACATGCCCCCTTAAACCGGCAAAAGCAAAAAAACGTTTTTTGTTTCGCAACACTTTAGCCTAATTTATAAGAATCCGGTTAATCGTTTATGAAGCTTGAATACATTTTCTGGACACACTCTGCAAGACCTTTCCAACGATGTCTCAAACATGTCGATCGGAGGTCTGGATAAAAACTTCCAAATCTCGTGTATACATATATAAGCGAGTCATTTCAGCATGCTACTGTGGCTGCTTTCGTCAACTGTTCAACTTTCAGTTAACTGATGTAAACTTTTGATTCAACTAGCCGCCTTAGAAAGTTGAACAGTGTAAATGCCTTTTAGCCTTTATCGATAATATTTAATACGGCTTTCCCACGGCCCCCCAATTATGTAGTTCGCTCTCTCATTCGCACTGCAATTACCCTTCTAATTACATAATTTGCCATACAAAATGTTGAAAGTGAATTTGAAACCTCATTTGTTGGTAATTCAGATTCATTTATCAGGCGAATTGCGAACTAATCGCTGCCGTCTCTATTTTTTATCGGAAATTTATCGAAACCAGTTCTCAAATCAAAACTGGCAGTTTTTCTGAGTACGAAAAGTAAAGTACATGTGCAAGAATGATAGAATACAAGATTGCGCTGATCAGAGAGGATTTTAGAGAATAACTTTTGTGTGACGTCACACTGGTGCAATTGCGAGAGAGAAATGCCAAAACGTGAGCAAGAATGGAAGAAGAAGAAAAAATGTTGCAAGGAAAACGTAAACAAGTTGCACAAGTGTGACGTCATGCAAACAACGATTCTGTCAAATTAGTTAAGAGAGGAATAGCGGTCCGAGATCGGCGCAACCTTTGTATTCTCTCAATCGTGGTACATGTGTACATCACCAATTTAATACGGAAACTTATACATTTTTAGCAATAACTTACATTTTGCATACATTTTTTAGCGAACAGAAAAAAAACAAAACACAGAGATAAAGAACTGTCAAATCGAATTAAGAATGTGCTCGTGAGAAAGGGGTATTTCGCGATCGTAATTGGAGGAGCGAACAAAAGTTGCGTTCCAGATGATAACGATATTCACGATTTGGAGTTTTTTTCACAGGAAAGCGTTCCAGGTTCCAAAAAACATGTACGTCAAAGTACTTATGTGAGAGTAACTTTCACACTCTCTCAGTCAGAAGTTGCAGGTTTTAGTCATGAACCAAAAAATACAAGATCACGCCTTCTTCTTAGTAGCCCGTTATAATCGCATTTAGGAAAAAAGTTGGGCGACTTTGACATTAGCCGTTTGTTTACATTTGTTCGTTGCTTACAATTTGGTGGTGGCTTTTTACTGGAATTTTCTTCATTTTCGCTTGTGACAACGTGTGTACACATAAGATAAAGAATAATTTATCACAACGACATGATTTATAAAAGAGTTTGTAGAATAAAAATGGTTATTCCTGCGTTCAACAATTACGCGTTTTTTTTTTGTTCTCTTCGTTGTTTACTTCTTACAACAAAGATGGCGTCAAGATTTCAACAGCTAGAAAATAACTTTTTTCTTTCTTTCGGGAAGGCGTGATCTTGTGTCTTTCGTTCATGGGTTTTAGTCAGAAGTTTTTCTTCCTGCAAGTTCTTTTTACAAGCTATTATTTAACTTGGTCATCCCGCGGAAATTTCCAATCGATTTTTAACTGACTTCCCGACAAGGTAGAGACTTGAAAATTTCAGCATAGTTCCAATCACGATGACAATGCAATTCAAAATATAAATCAATTCCCTAGATGGTCCAGGGGTCTTGATACAAAGGCGGTCAAAACATAGTAAAATTTATGGCTAACAGAGCGTAATTTGCCAAAACAACGTAAAAAGGCTATAAATTTGCTAAAGCTGCCGGCGGTAGTAAATAATAACTATAGTTTCAGGGCTAGTAAGAGAAACACCGGAAATTAGCTTCAACAGTGTTTATCATTACCAAACTGTTAAGTTTTAGGCACTTCTGTTAAGAATAACATTATTTGGTTTCCTCACACAGGGAGTTAGTGAAATACAGAGATACAATAAAAGCCGCGCATAACTCACATGCATGCAGTGGCGTAGCCAGGGGGGAGAGGGGGATATGGGGGGATAGATCCGCCCCCCTTCGTCATTGAACTACAATTATTTACTTTTGAATTAATAACACAATACTATTTTATCCTTCTGAATATATGAGTAGTCCACTTGCAAACAGCGTTATGTGATTTTATAAAAGTAAACCATAAATTTAAAAAAAAACGTCTACGACAACAAGTAACATCCGAACTGTATCTTTTTTATTACCTGAAAATTTGGATAAATAAGAGCCTAATACCATTAAAAAAATAAAATTGTAGTATGGTAGATTTGCAAATTTTATATTTAAAAATTTAATATTGCAAGTTTTGAAAGAGTAACTTTTACATAGCTAGCTTTTTTTAGCTTTTCGCGTTTTCTCCTCTAGGAAGATTGGTTTGCTTCTTTTTTGCGACCTCTTCCACTAGGCACCGAAACTACCACGTTTTCTTGCAGCTAAGTTCATACGAAGAGGAGACATTTGAAAGTGTATAAATAAGTATTATAGCGACTTTTGCAAGAGTAGTTAACATATCATGCTATTTTTTTCAGAATATAGAAAAATGTTTCACTCTGCTGTTAGTGGACATGAAACCCACCAAAAACTAAAAATCTAAAAAAAAAATTACATAGCGCACTTTGAACATGCTATCTTATTTGTCCCTTCTTTTTATACAATTAAGGAGCTGCTGAATGGTTTAACGATGTTAGGTACATAATGATGTGCCGATTACAACACAAGAAGTAATTGAAAAAATGTGTGTTAAGCAACGAAGATTAAAAATCGCTTTATAAGTAATAAGATTTTGTAGACTTGTACATAAATAAATGTAAATAGATACGCGTAAATATATAAATATGCAGATATATTCACTGTGTAAAAACTGAACGAAACTTCTACAAAACAAAACTGAACTACACACTAATTAATTAAAATGGTGTAGTAATTTAATTTTTTAAATTTAAATAAAGCATGAATTCCCCAGGGAATAACCGAGTAGACAAAAAATATATAACGGTAGAAATGGCACATACATACATATATGAAAGAATGCCCACAGGCGACGCACTATAGGCAAAACACGAGTTTTTTTTCAAAATCGTAGATTTTCGCTTAGAAAAGAGATAATGGAATGCAGCATTTAACCCTTTAATGCAGAGTCTGTCATATATGAAACGCTTTTTAACCCTTTCAAGGCAGAGGAAAAAGGTTCTCATATGCTTTTGAACGTGATTTTTCTCATGTTGACGTAGATATTAATCGTAGAAAATTTTTCCATAGTAAAATAATAATAAAAAATAAATAAATAAAAAAATAAAAATATTAAAAATAAAAATAAATAAGAAGTACGTTGAAAACATATTGAGAACCATTTTGCCTCTGCCTTGAAAGGGTTAAAAAGCGTTTCATATATGACAGACTCTGCATTAAAGGGTTAAATACTGCGCTTTCGTAAAGATATCGACCAGTATAACCATTTTTGTTATATAAATTTTTTTGTGAAAGCTGATAGTTTACGAGTTATTAGAGTTTAAAGGTAGCTTTTCTTTTGCCAATCTGGCCACTCGGGTACAGCATCCAATGTCCCAAGAATCGAGTCATAAGATAAAAAAAGGGAAATCTTTCAGAAACAGTGCTAATGGTGTATTAAATATAGTGTTTTCTAGTGGAATGGGAGCCAAAATCCAAAATTAAAAAAGTGACATTTTGAACGGTATTTTTAGGGTTAAGTTATTGTTGTTGTAACTTCTCTATCACGATAAACAAATTTTCATTCCATTATCTCTTTTCTACGCGAAGATCTACGATTTTGAAAAAAAACTCGTGTTTTGCCTATAGTGCGACGCCTCTAGCCATTCACGGTGTCCTTGAACCAGATCCAACTGATACGGTCTGGAACGATGGAATTTCCAATTAGACTTATTTAAGTGGACCTACCCAAGTCAGAATATGCAAAGTTTGAAATCCTAGCAAGTGTCGATTTCAAAAACGGTCACTTTTTCGATTGTAAGCCGAAATTTTAATATTTGTCATATAGATAAGGTTGTAGATAACTGATTATATACATATTTACATCTGTATTGCATACATATATACTAATATGTGTATATTAATTATTATACATATACACACAACCACAAACACACACCAAAGTTCCGGATAATAGAAGTTTATATTATTATATGATTTTATTTGTGTTTATAAATTTTTCTTTACTATAATTATCAGGGAACGGATTTTTAGGACCTAAAAACCTATAAAAAAGGCAAAATAAAATAACGAAATAGGACGGAAAAGGCAAAATAAAATAGCGAAAAAGGCAGGAAAAGGCACTAGGTAGTGCAAAAAAGGCAAAAAAAGGCAAAACAAAATAGCGAAAAAGGCAAGAAAAGGCAAAAAAAAGCAAAATAAGGCACTAAAAAAGACAGAAAATACGAAGAACAATCAAAAATTACATTTATTTTAGAAATGTTAATATTACAAGTAAAAAGAGAAAAACTATGAACTAATTTCATTATATGAAAAATTTGTACTTTGAATCTGTGACTATTTTATCATTTCGAGTTTTTAACTCATAAAACTTTAATCTGTATAGTTGTAGTAACATTGAACCACAAGATGCATTTTGAAGTTTTCTGGCAGCATTTTCATTCGATTTTCGCGAAGAAAAGCCTTGAATGTACTAAATGTGCGCTCGACGTAAGTTGATACAAGTGGCGCCCAATTTAAATATGGAACGTTTGAAACGTTCATATTATCAGGAATAAGGGCGTTTGCCTCGCCCTTAACAATTTTATCCACACCTCTTATTGTCTCCAAGCCTAAGTTAGCTGAGAAAACGGCTTTGAATTTTTCCAACACCAATTTGGCAATAGGCCCCTGCGCTTCTATAAGCCGCTTCTCAATGTTATCCAAAATATTTAATACCTCACCAACTGGAGTTCCTACAATTACATAAAAATTGTATGTGAATTATTAATTTTTTACTGAGAATTTTGTTTTTCCACAACCTGTTTTCTGTAGACGTTCGAAAACTTTTTCCTCTAAAAGAAAACCAAAATTGCATTTTATATATATCAAATTCCCCTGAACCGATTTTTTGCTCAACAATTGCTTCGAGAATCTGACACATGCTGCATCGTCCGTTATTTGGTCAATTATTCTTTTGATGGAATCATAGTTTTCGGCATAATATACGGCTGCAATTAGCCATGTGCCCCATCGAGTTATCACCTGTATAAATTTACAAATAATTATAATTAAAATTAACAACAATAGCAATTTATCTTGACATACCGGCTGAGGAGGCAGAGGAAGATTGGGTTCCATTTCTTTGAAAACTGCCACCCTGAATGGGCTTTTCAAGAAAACTTTTTTTAAGTTTGAAATTAAGACGTCAACATCTGAGTACTTCGAGCGTAGAGATTCGCAGACCCGGTGTACGCCATGTGCGACGCAGGTGATATGAATCATATTAGGATAAAGCAGCTTCAATGATGACGCACTTTTCTTCATGTAGGGTGCTGCATCAGTCACAAATACCAACACTTTTTCACGTTGGAATCCTATTGGCCATAAAATGTGCATAGAATCGTCAAACAATGTTGCGATTGTTGATGAGTTCACCTTATCCAACACCTCCACCGGCAAGAGATAGCCGCGTCCGCTTTCACGCAACGGTCCAACAATAACGTTGGTTACACTGCGGCCTGCCTTATCTGTAGTTTCATCGATGGACACAAAGATGGGGCTTTCTCCTATTTCTAAACGAATTTTCTCCAAAACGGACTCGTAACAATCCTTCACGTAATTTTTTCTAAGAGTTGATTCATCGGGAAGGGATTCCTGAACGTATTTTTCAAAGAATGATTTGAATTCCACACTCTTCAAATTATAAAGTGGAATTCCGCATGCAATCATCATTTTAGTAATATCTGCGTAAAATACATTCTTTTCCACAAATGGTGCTATCATTTGGGTCTTGTTTTTCTTTATTTGTAATCCTTTTATATGTTTTTCACTTTTAATATGCTGCTGAATATAATATTTTTTTTCGTGATTAACTTTTACTGAACAAATATTGCAAAATAAAACGGTTCCATCAGTACAAAATACATCCGAACCAAACTCGGCAATCAGAATTTTTAAACTCTTGGTAATTTTAGACTTCGGCATTGCTTTTTTAGTTTTTACACTGAATAACTTTTTGTTTCAAATAACGGCTGGCAAACTCTATTGAAGTAAAACAGTTGTTAGTTGTGCACATCAGCAACTGTGTTGATAGATTTTAGCACGCAACAGAGTGACATGAAAACTACAAAATTTATTTTTGCTTAAGTATTCACTACTTACACACTGCGTTTTTCTATACATACTTATTTTCGAATATGGGCATGTGTATATTTCTTAATCTTTAAAAAAAAATTGTAAATGCTATAATCACTTTTTTAAAGGTAGAAAGGGCAAAAAAAAGGCAAATATCTTAAAACAGGCAAAAAAAGGCAAATATCTTAAAAAAGGCAAAAAAAAAGGCAAATATCTTAAAAAAGGCAAAAAAAGGCAACATCAAATGGGTATATATGGAATCAGGGAAAGCTAAATCGTGGACATTCTTGATCGAATATACTATATCTCTTTAGCAGAAAAAAAGGCAATTTCCATAAAATCCGTTCCCTGATGATTATATATGTTTACAATTAAAGTCGCATACAGCATTAAGTAAGTATTTAGCGCGTATTAATTTTTCTGGGGATACTTTGTATCTGGACCATGTTTGCAAGAAATCAAAATGTACGGATTCCATTGCTTGTTCACTATAAAGGCCTAAACCTGTGATATATTTTAAACAAAAATCAGTAATGTGAAAAAACAGCGTGAACTTAAGCGTGTCTACATATGGTAATAAACCTAAACAACGAAAATTTCAAAGAACATCAATTTTATCAAGAATTATTTTACACCCATTGCCATTAAAACCCAATCCATCGTGTATAATATCCCGAGAAATACCCATTTGTTTTATTTTTTTTTGTCTCGTCCTTTTGACTTCTCCAAGAAATTGTGAAAGATCGGGGAGCATGATCTCTTTTTTTTAAGATAAACGTCTTTTCTGCATGTGTTGCATAATGAAATAGGAACTTTTTCGCTTAGAAACGAATCAGAATCCAATAAACACTTTAGCTTTTTTCCTAGTTCACCGTCAATTTTAAACATTAATTTGGTTTTATTAAAACATAGTAGGCAAATTTTAGATCGGTTTTCTTCGTGGGTAGAGAAATTATATTTTTTTATTAAATATTTGAATTTTCAAGTATAGACTAATAACTGTTTATTTTTCTTAAATACAACTAACTGAGTTGTATAGTGTACTCGCGAAACTGTTGTTGTTAGATGCCTATTTATTTATTTAACGGTTTTTTTTCTCAAACGCACGTGCTTCCTCTTTCAATAAAGAAACATAATGACAAATAATGAAAATGTGATGCTGTTTTTTTTCTGTGACAAATACCCAAGTTTCGACCTACGGTCGAAAAATTAGCAGTTTTTGAAATCGGCACTTGCTACGATTTCAAACTTTGCATATTATGACTTGGGAACGCCCCCTTAAATAAGTCTAATTAGAAATTCCATCGTTCCAGATCGATTCAGTTGGATCTGGTTCAAGGACACCGTGCATTGTGTATCACAACTTTAAGTTATCGATGCAAATTTCTTTTAATCCCGCCCCCTGGCTACGCCACTGCATGCATGCATCTTAAAATTGTACATATGTACATAGGTACTTCTACTATCCCACAGGCGAAAAAATTTCAGTTAGTACAATCAGGGCTCCCAACTATACTTAGCTATGAAGCGCCATATTGAGGATAAAAAGGTGCCAAATAGAAAAATAAAAGTGCCAAAAAAGGTGTCATTCTTTTAAGTTCTTCTCATTTAGCATTAAAATTAGAAACACATTCCTAAAACAAAAGTCCAATGCAAAGTAAGATAAACCAGTTGTATACACGATAGAAATTAGAAAATTTTAGTTGACAAAAAGAAGTACACGCAAAGGATTTCACAAAAATGTATCGAAATATTATAATTTTTCAAAAGTGCCAAATTAAAAAATTAAGTGCCATAAGTAAAATACGGCCATAAATGGCACATTTTGAACCCAGTTGGCCGCCCTGTGTACAATCTGTTTCTTCTGAATAGTCGTGTGCCATGGGATGGTAGAGGTAAACGGAAAATAATTGTCTATAATTAACATACCGAAGTGGTCAAAAGGCTTAGGCCCAATTTCAGATGGCCTACTTAAGTAGAGATTGTTGATTAACTTTCATTATTCATTTTCAGATCATACATTTAAACTGAACTTAAATGGCCAATATTGGCTATTTAAATATGAGATATGCAACCCTGTGTTCGTCCAAACAACCAAGATTGATTGGTTGTTTAATCAATCCCACCAAATCCCACCAAAAAACAATCAGCTGTTCAGCACAAAATGTAAACAAACAAGCAAATGCAACAACAATTTCAAGAAACAAGCAGCAGTGCTGCCAATTGATTGGCATATTTAAATAAAGTTGATATGAAACCCAACGAAAGCTAAATGGAATTTAAACCGCAATCCACAATTAAACTTAAGTGCTGTTTAAATATTCATTTGAAATTGGCCCTTATGGCCCGTTGTTCAATGTCTGATTAACACAAATCGGAAGCTCCGGTTAAATACAACAACTGCTTTATCGATCACATGTTATTTGCATGATGTCGAAATCTTCGATAATGATGTACTGGTGATAGCCATACATTGAACAACGGGCCCTTACCTTAGATGAAAATGCTTCAGTTTGAGATAGACTTTACATTTAAAGAACTTTTCTATCTAAAGCAACAAAATAAAATCTTTATACCAGCTGTTTTCATTATAAAGGTTTGCTCAAGCAGCAGCGGTATGGGTACCGCGTGGTATAACTCCGTATGGCATGTTTGCTCATGTATGGTTATACATACCCTGCAGAAAATCTGACTAGCCTAGAACTAGCGTAGAACTAGACCTTTTGCCGACAGTACCAGTTTTAGCTCAATACCCAAGCAATGCTTTCAACTGTCCAGTCATCCAGTCCAGGTGATGTCATTGGCGGGGGCAATTGTCGCCCAGTGCATTTCATTGCAACCAGTTTTTAACCGGTTCCATTTTGGACAGTTTTTTTTTATAAGAAAACGTTTTTGCGATTCGATTTTTGGATATTTTTTCGATTTTCTTTTCTTTTACAGATTCCGTTTTTGTTACATATTTTATTTAAAAAATATATATATATTGTAAGCTGCACGCAACAATTTAAATTCATTAAATTTGAAAACTCACAACTGCCTCCACCGCGATCAACGATAATTGAGTCGGAGGTCTTCTCGCTGAGCTACTTTCGTATTGTGCGAGTAGTAAGCATTTGCACATTTACAACGCAAGTTTCAACTGTCCCGCTCTGCATTCCTTTTGCACTAGTTCAGAGATAGTTCTGAGATATGTAGCTCGGAACTAGCGCTTTGTCAGACTGTCTGTAAATTTTACTGCAGGGTTTTTTTTTTTTATATTTTTTTTTTTACGAGCAGGAAGCATCGAAAGCCTATACCCGTCAGTGTGGGACTTTACCCCGAACTAAACCTCCTACTGTCCGAGTACCGAACCCCCCGGTACCACCGTCAAGTATTTCGTCGGGAGGCGGGTACTTAGTCCTGGGCTACGCCTAGTAGGCTTTGCTAGGTCTTGTTTAAGGATAAATACCCTTTTTTAACTATTTATTCATTTATCTCTTAGATACAACTTATTATTTTCGCCTTTATAGACAGTAAGAGCAAAAACCTTAAAATGCCTTATGCGACGAGTTTCAAGCCCGCATACGTATGTATATTGCCTTTGCGGTTTGAACGGTCTAGGTTCCAATCCGCACCAACGCCCCGTGTGGACGAAATTCGAAACTGCACTTTATTTGCGGCTGGAACGCCCTAGGTTCCAGTCCGCGCCTATTTTCGATTGCAAAAATTTTTTCGAGGTTGCCACTTGGGCGGCTGGAACGCCCTAGGTTCCAGTCCGCGCGTATTGATCGATTGCAAAAATTTTCGAGATTGCCACCTGAGCGGCTGGAACGCCCTAGGTTCCAGTCCGCGCCTATTTTCGGTTGCAAAAGTTTTCGATATTGCCACTTGGGCGGCTGGAACGCCATAGGTTCCAGTCCGCGCGTATTTATCGATTTCACAAATTTTCGAGATTGCCACCTGAGCGGCTGGAACGCCCTAGGTTCCAGTCCGCGCATGCGCTTTAATTGTTAGATTTCATGTTCAAGGTGCGGTCTGAAAGCACAACTTTCTAAGCCGCACTGCTCGAGCGGCTGGAACGGCCTAGGTTCCAGTCCACGCCTACGCTTTGGTTGGTGAACATCATAGTTTAGTTCCAGTCCGTGGCTATGCTAAGAGTTGGCTTAAGCACGGCTGATACGCCGCTGTCTCTCTAGGTCCCTCAGTTCCTTCAAAATCGAAATTAGTGTATCGCTGGTTGATGCCCATTCGCTGGTTCATTTCACCATATAGTCGACTACTGACTGTGGCGTAAACACCACTCCAACGGCAAGTTTAAGTTGGTTCATCTGCCGATGGAAACGAGGGCACTCAAAGAATACGTGGTGGACATCTTCTTCCACGCCACTTAGACAGAAGTCGCAGTACGGGTCGTGCTCATGTTTGAATTTAAACAGGTATGCCTTAAAACAGCCATGACCACTCAATAACTGGCTCAGATAAAAATCTACTTCGCCATACGTTCTATTAAGCCAGGATACCAGGTTTGGTATGCAGCGATAGGTCCAACGACCTTTAGTCATACTATTCCACCTGTTTTGCCACTCCGCAACGCTGCTTTGCCGGGCTTGATGTCGGTCTAATTGAGTTAGAGTATGCCGCGTGGATGCAAGGACCATCGATTCTCTTGC